CCCTTGTCAGTAGTTCATAACTAACGTACATGAACTTGGATCTCAATGTCGATTTCGGAAACTCCGCCCTGAAATCCAAGAAATTCTCGGAAGACTCTCATTTGAAACTAAAGTTAGTAGTCACGGGTGAATCAAGTGACCCAAAACCAACTTTCTCGTCTACAGCTGAATGTGTTGCACAAAGGTCGCCTCCTGTTTTGGTAAGATATTCGATGTATCGAGATGTATTTCCTTACGGTATATACAATGTTGCTGTAAGAAATTCGCTAATATTCTCTCTTATGAGATTGAAGGAGTTTAGCCGACAAACGCCCTCGGAAAAAGCCGCCGAACCAATTTTCAGTTGTCAGAATTACTGGGTTTTGTGAAGTCTAACAAGGCAGTACAGAGCGACTGGTGTTATTCGCAGGACCTTTCTTGAAGCTGTCGTGCAGACAATATAAAGTTTATTGTACTACAACCAGCATGAAATTCGTATTGTTCATCGCAGCCGTATGCTATGATCCCTTGAGGAGTCAGGTGGTTCAGTGAATCTCTTTCCAGAAGCTTGTTCTCATAGTCAAGCAGACTGATGCGTCTGCAATTTCTTTGTTAACTGGCATGGTTAGAACATCCTGGAGTTCTCATAGGCCTTCCTTTTTCTGCAAGATCATGTCATCCAACGGGGAAGTGGTGTCAGAATACCATCCTTGAGCAGTTTTTTACCAGCATGTCTGCTGAAGCTGTCTTCCCATTCCGTAATTCAATAGTCGGTAGAGGACAATTTCATTTCTCGTTGAGGTAGACTGTTCACTGGATTCCAGTTGATGTTCGCCGGTTGGTTCGGCAGTTTGTTGAGGTGCTTGCGCCATATATCTAATAATTATTTAGGTGAGTTTTTCTTCTATACCATGTCAGCATTCTGAAGATTTTGGATCGGTTTGGTGCCCTCCTATAAATGGTTTTTAAAGAATCGCGAAATTCTTTTCCTGTTTCCAAACGGTGGATTTATTGTGTTCTTTCTGTTCAGTTCGTGTTCTCCACCATTAGTGCCTGATGCCACTGAGTTGCCCCGGCATGTCATTTCAAGCATCCCTAAGCTGCTTTTCTTTGACTTCACTGTTTGAATGGACAAGAGGTGCAACAAGTGCTTCGTTTTTCTAGCTGCCAGCTATTCTATATCCTTGTTGTTTCCATCAAAACAGTTGGGGAGTCTTTGGGCGAAATCGTCCAGTTGGCTACCGTCATTATCACGCGTCTGTCAGCCGGCTGGATGGATGGAAGACTCAGTGAGAAGGGCAGTTACATTTGGTACATCAATATCAACTTCGAATTTTTGAAGAATTTGACGTCAAGGTTTATTCCATCACTGATGCAACTGGCATAATATAGCTTGTGAATTTGGATTGCAAGTTCCTTCCGGATGGTCACCTCATGTGATGCATACTCCTCAAGCGTGAAGAGTAGAGTGATCAAGTGATTGAGAGAGTGGTCGCTGCACGGACCCATCCATTTTGGAATATGTTTCAGTTTGAGACAAAATCTCATGTTGCTGATAACAAGCGCATCGATAGCACAAAGTTTGAGAAGTCGGTCACCGTCGGTCTTCACAGTACTGATGGCTTGGCGTCCGAGAGCGCTTGGACACAGGGAAAGATCTCGATCTACACTTGTGCCGAAGTCTCCCGGTAAGTGTGTCTTGTCAGTCTTTAGAATCGATTGAAGTAGGGTATCAGATTCGACTCAGAAAGTGTCCTTGCGGTTGTTTGCATAGTAGAGCGTTTGGCGTATGCAATGATTGCGTTCACGCCCGTAAATCTCGGGTGCAGCGAAGCTAGAAATTGACTAATGTCACAGGGTTCTGTGTCTAACATCTTCCTAATGTGTCCCAGTGGCCCCATTTTTCCTCTTATTTGGTAGCCGACACCAGAATCAGCCTATGAAAACTTTCCTGGTCAGCCAGCCTTGTTTCGATGAGGGCCGCGACATCGCTTCCATGTATCTTCAGTCTCATTTTAACCAAGGCAGCACGCATTCAAAGGTCGACCTGTTTTTCAGCTTTATTATTAAAATTTTTAAGAGCCAACATCAGGCGGTTTCGGTGAAAGACTCAATTGTTCCTGATTTACCTGTGCAGGCCTACCTATGTAGGCTGTTGTAACATTTCTTAGATGCCTTAGTCTGCAGTTCAGTTTGTGACTGTTCAGTCTCAAGAAACCTTGCATTAGACTAGCTGTAAACGGACTTATAGCTTTCATTGGTGGGTTTAGCATTAGTATTCTTCAATCGTAATTGTTTGACCGGACTTTTATGTTTTGCGGACTGTTAGCGCAGTTTTGAGCTCCAGAGCTTCTGGCGACGTACAGTTGAGCTCAATTTATATATCATGAGTTCACTCAGGTTCCTATCCATTCGGGAAAATCAAATTTACACTACTCACCCCACCGTCCGTATCTATCCGTACCTGGGGGCTTATGAAGGTAGAAAGCAGACGAAGCATGAAACAAGACCTACACAGCTTTATGCGGTATATATTGCGTGACAATCTGCAACTAATTATCCAATCAGCAGCCTGAGGCCAAGTGCTTCCGGAAGTAATGCTGTCCGAAAACGTACTTTCAGGAGAAATCGCCACATGAATGGAGTATATATTGAAATATCACGTTTCTTCACTTTTAGCGTCTTCATCCACCCAAGGAGATTTTCGGGCAAGTCGAGAGGGGTAGACACTTGAAGTAGCTGCGCGACGCACCGGAAATGTACACCATAACTCTGTGACTTCATTCTACGTCAGTCGGATGGAGCCATCTAACAGTATTACCTCACATCCTTTTATTTCGACCTGGATGGATAAGATACTGATAAGACCACCAAGTTTGCAAACGTAGCCAACTTTCCATGCTTTGAGCCACAGTTGAGGCCTCAGGTGTGAGATTCCTTAAACCCGAGACCGCTTCTCAAGAGGGTTATAATCAATCTTCATTTTTCAGTAATCTGAGTATCTGAGCCTTTCTGTCAAATCTTTTAGGGATCAAATATGTTGAGCATCATCCGTGTGTTTGACCGGCTTACGCTGTTTTTCTGACATATCGCTATTGTTCGAATCACATGTGCGTTCGGTTCACTTAAATGCTCCCTTTAGCGCATTGTTTGTTGTCCTCGATCGTACATGCCCTCTTGATTACATTTGGCGCTAAACCAACATTACGGCGCCCGAGGCTTCTGTAAACTGGTTAAATAATAAAAGTGACACATTCCCGATAGAACTGAGGCGCGAGTAAAGGAGCACTTTCCCAAATGCAGCTTGAACTGTTTGAAGCAATTCTACTTTCCGCTTAAAGTCCGCTTCCTCTGTCGTCAATATCTTATCAATGACATTTCTACGATGGTTGGAATCATTGCAACAAGTGTGAAGTTTAAAGTCGAGTTTGAAGCGTTGATAATCAAGAGATTGGACCACATCTGACTCAGAATTTGCATGCACCCTCAGTTCACGCGGCTTGGTTGTACATCGTGTCCCAGTTAGTTTTTGAAATTCTACTACGGCTTTATGATCTCGTCTGTTCGTTACCTATGTATCCCTTATTGCGATTGAAAAGTAAATTTGAAATGACATCACTCTGCACAATTCATGGTTCTCTCCTGTCACTATTAAGATGATCACAACTATTTTCCAAACCGTCACTCTCCAAATATTCGCGTCAAAAGTCGACGGTCAGTTGTGACACACGAGTGATCACGGCCTCATTATACCTTCAACTACGCTAGCTATCTGAAAGCCCATTTTTGTGCGGATTAAAGTACGCATTTTTTACACCAATGTTTTGTAATTCAGTTTAAAAACAAAATTTAAAATTTTCATGAAGGAAACTACGCACAAGGTTGCTGAAAACTCTTCGATATCTCGAATACCGTGCCAACTGAAACATGAGGCAGCCTGTGTGCAGCACATTCAGTTGTAGAACACCATAAACGAGAGATTCACTTGAGTCTCCCGTGAAAACCAAATTGATTTGCAAATGAGTGTTTTTCTCGAAAATTTAAAATTCTTCGACTATGTACTTCTGTGTCACCAAGCCAGGTATATAGATCCAATCATACAACCCATTCCGCAGCTGGTGTGATAGTCGGGCTACTTGAATATGACATTAGTATTTCGCAGAACTGTTTTGACAACGGCAAAAAAAGTGTGTGTGCGAAAAGTGTGACTCCGATCCACATTGTCAGGGTTAATCCTGCCGGTCACGCAATTTGATTGAAGTTGTGCACGCACGCACAGATATGGACGTACAGTGGTACCATGATGAGGGCAGACCAAGCAAGATATCGATTCAACAATTGAATAAACTGTTATGGTCTTACTATGTACGCGTTATCGCCTGATCCAACGAAGTTGACTTCTTGTTATATTCTTCCGAGGTTATTCTCCTGATGAACACTCTTAATTCATTGTGGACGCTTGAGTTCCAATCAGTTAGACTGACAATTGAGGTCAGACGGTGTGTGCCTACTGCCATATCTCAAAAATCAAACACTTGAACCGCATCCCGACCGCTTGTTTTACCTGAGGCCTGATCAGTGAACCGCACCTAGACGCACAGTCTCTTCATTAGGTGGCGAATTTCACCTCAGATGTGAATCCCAGGTAGGTGTATCAATGAATAACTTGACACAAGCCTTGTGGGTGTATCAATAAATAACGTGACACAACCCTTAATTTAACGGGGAGTTCGATCTATATCCTGAAATTTATACATACTTTAACAGAGAAACAGAAAGAAAACAGAAAGTGAAAATGCACATTTGACCGCGCACTGAATGTTGTGCGTATATGATTGGCAACTTTTCGGTTAAACAAGTTCGTCGATTGGTGGAGTCTGGACTCACATACCACCAATAGCGCGAGCTGTTTGACATTGCTCCACTGGCCAACTAGTTTGCGTGCCACCAGCAACCCTAATCAGGCTCTATTCCATATCATTTTTAAACGCTTTTAAAAGTTTCTGGCTGCCAGGAAAGCAGAATGAGCAGAATAAACTTGAAGCCACAGATCCTCTACTTTCTGCGCTTTCGACGTTTTGACGCGTTCAGTTTCATTCTATTAGTTGCAGTTACTTTCGTAGCAACCATTATTGTGTGGTTGACGATCTACAACAGTAAGGTAGCTGACTCTAAAGAATCCGGAACAAACGGAATATCAGGACTTCGAACTTTTGATTTTTGCACGCTGCGTGCGCAAACTGATCAAAATATTCGCTGTCTGTGGCCTCCGAAATCTCCCGAGGAATTAATCAGCCCTGACACCAGGCGTTACGATTTGACACTACGACCCAGGGTTCTGGAGGATGAAGAATCTTTAAAACTTGGAGAGCGATACTACTGGTGGGCAAATATCTTGTACAATGGGACACCTATTTTAGGTTCCTGGTTAAAACGCCTGGTAGTGATGGACAGATTGACGAGGATGAGTCAACCGTTTGATAACTATTACCTGTATCCGCAAATAATGGATGTTGAAGAGGCCGTGCATTCAGTTCGCCAAGGGATGGCGGTCAAACAAGTGAGCTGTCATAATAATAATGTAATAGTGATATAATTATTGTAATATTTAATGCATAATATAATATGTTATATTATATATTATATATAACATTATATATTATATATATATTATATATTATATATTATACATTATACCAAACATAAGCTGCGAATATGATGGAGTTGGAAGAGTATCAGTATGCATCAGGAAACTACACATTTAATAAAAAACTATCGTTTTTCTGCTAGCTAGTTCATAGAGTGGCCATCAGCAATTATTTCATGCTGTAAAACCGTTGTTTTGAATAAGAAGTCAGTAGAGAGCTATTTGGGGCATCCTTGTGTTACGTCTTGTCTCTTCGCGAGCACACTAAGTTCTCTTCAGCTTTAATATGTTTTTCAGCCTACACAACTTAGCGCGCATTCCACACCAGTAATGCATGTTATACCAGATCAAAGCATGTGGCAAGTAGATGATCATGAGATGACTTATTCAAAAGTCTGCTGTTTATTATTACACTGAAAGATGTTAGTGTCAATCATTCGGTCCGAGTTCCGTGTACGTGGATTGATTGCAATGTCTCTATGAAAGTCATGGGACGGTACAAAATTACTCCAGAAAGAAATTTTAGCGTGTTAGATTAGGAGAAGACATCCATCAGTATGATCTGCTTTCAGATAACATCGTTTAGAAATTCAAAGATAGTTCTCCAGATGGACGTTCTTAGTTCAGTTCACTGGGTTGCGCAAATGATGATATCTGGGGCGAACGTTAACGAATAAGTGCTAGTTATCCTCCAGGTTTGACCAAGACTCGTCATCGTCTGAGGTGTTAACTTTTTTCAGCAGATCTCCAAGAAGATAAACTTTTACGTTGCTCTGGAACTCTGGGATCTCTGTTTGGAGAAAGCGAGATCGATTCAGGATGAAAAACGCAAAAGGGTTTTTGCCAGTGGTGGACGTATTACACATGTATATTGGCGTAGGAAGTTGAGAGAAGGGCATCTTCATCTGTGAACAGCCTAAGTTAGCAAATGCGCAAAAATAGCCACAAGGTGATAAGTATTGGTCTTTTCACTGTGGCGGACATATTACCCATATGTTAAAAATTAGCATAAACTTGGATTTTGAGATGAAAGCTGCGCGGAAGATGGCCTGTAGTTGTATTACGTTCCGTATACATGGAGTCCTTTACATGCTTGGACAAAACAAGATGCGTTCAACATGTTGAGCAAGCGATGTAGAACTGCAAGAACGGTACACCCTTGCCACAATGCATCACCTTAATGTTTTAACATTCGTGTGCATGATATTCGGAACAAGAGAATCAAGTAGGACATAAGGTTGACGGAAACTCGGGCACTGCACCTATCTGATGAGCCCTAAGAAGGGCACAACCGGTCGTGGGTCGTCGAAGAGCTTTCAGCAACCTTGTGAGTAGTTTCCTTTATGAAAGGGAATTATATAATTTATAAACCGGAACAGAATGCTGTCAGATGGGGAAGCGCTTTAGAGTTGATGGGGTTTACTCCGATGTTTTGTTAAAGTGTACGTAAATTCGATCAAGCGCCACTAGCTAATCAATAGTGCGGATTCGAGCTGTGTATCCTGTAGTCGTCTTTACAAAATAAAACACAAAATTGTAAATTAGGTTTTCTTAGAAAAGGAGAAGCTGTCTGAAACTAATGTGAACCGTTCTGAATGGTGTTATCCTTCGTGAGTGAGGTGGAGCCAACGGGCATCATTCAATACCATGCCTCTGAAAATGAATAGCTTCATAGCCTGCAAAACTTAACGTCAATTCCGCTTCTTCACTGTGATTTACGGCTACCAGCAGTTTGCTTTGGCGAATTACCGCTCCTATACACGAGTGGCAGTCATGTGCCGGTTCCACAAAGAGTGGAACCATTTGTCATTCCAGCAATGGATACCATATGCTTTATTGAGGCCGAACCACTATATGCCTGAGTTGACATTGGTGGATTATGGATTGGGTTACGCAGTATCACTATGAGGGTGACGATGAAGACTGTACAAATTTACGGAACACACTCTCGAATGCTTCACTTCAGAAGAAGGTGCACAAATGTATAGTTTGATACAAGCAAGACAGCTATTTCATGTGACCTTCAGAAGTGGCACTACTAATTCAATGTGGGTGTCCAATGTGACGTTCTCCCATAGAGGAACCATTTGAGCCAAGGCAAATCATCTGTGTGCTGTTAGACAATAACTAGTTCTCTAGAAAATCGCTCATTCGAAGCTGAGCTTGTGCAGAACTTAAATTACATTATTACCCCTTCGGAAAAATTATCGCAACTAACTGCCAAAAACTAGTATTTTTGAAAGGTTTTGCATCCTGGAGAGAACCAAATCGGTCTATTGTGAGGGATTTATCCACTGTTGTTGCCGTTGCAGAACGAAAAACCGCGTCGGAAACCCAACGCGATAGTTTGGATGCCTTTGGTTATTATACGATCGAAATACTCCTTAGCCGGTTCGACTGTTTGAAGATTCATCCTCTGAAGTATGACTAGTGTTGTTGGGTGGCTTCGTCATCGAGAATATGACTTCCGACAAATGCATAGCAGTAGCTTGATTCTGTCCGTCAATCGGGGAAAGTAGCCAGGTAGTTAACAACTATAAAAAGCGAACGATACTTCATTACGCATCCAACTTAATAAACAGTTGTGTAAACAGAAGACAATACTATCACTTGAATGACTTTTACTTGACGAGTCTTCGTGTTGACGTTTTAAGCCAACTGAAATTTTCTTCCAGCTCCACAGATAAACACAGGTCTTCTTTAGGAACAAATTGCCTTACTAACTTAACGACGCCTTGAAATATGCTGAAATTTTTAGCTGTATCTGTAGCACCCTTCGGCGTCTAACTGTCATGCCGCCAGAAGGAAGCACGAGGGCTGGGATACTGCCGGGTTGCCCAAGCCTAGACAGGGGAAGTCGAGAGGCAGAAATCTTAAACGCTTGATCATATGAAAAGGAACATCGCTCACATCCGGTACTTTTAGCTGAATCTCCCAACAGTAGCCACTGATGGTTCCGAACAAAGTAAGGTAAATGCACTCGTCAAATTTTTTGACAAGTGGTCTCCTGCGACATATTCGGTCGTTTTACCACTGATCTTATTGAGCGATTCTTGTCTGTATGTACCTAAAAAGTAGTAGTACCATTGACACCGGTGCGAGCATTTTTGGTGAACGAAGAGACGAATAGGAAATCGATCCTGATTTGTCACAGGCACCGATCGGTTCTCGTCTACGTAAGGAGACTAAGCGCAAATGCGTAGTGATTATGATAAGCCTTCTACAAAGTTAATCGATGATGCATCTTCCCACAAAGAGATTTTCATTCATTCTATGAGCCATGCAGACAAGCATGCATTTGGTCCACGCTAGAAGAAAAATGCCATCAGAGATTAGATGAGCGCGGTATGCTGAATTCCTTTTGTGATCAGTTTGGAAGTTTACCACATACACTCGTTCATACATTTGGCTATTGATCGGAAGCTACCTGTGTGCATTCGTCTATGCCATCACCTGTACCGGGTATACCAGAGTCCAATCTTTTAGTCATATTGATCAGCATAACTTTGGTTTGCGTGAGTTCCGTCACAGTTTTCATTGTGACTTCAGTTACTGCCACACAAATGAACTCCAAATACTTGAGAATTTTCGCTTGTCACCTTTCCGTGGTCTATCCCTTAAAAGGACCACTTTTAAGGCACTAGTGCGAATGGCGCCTGGCACGGCACTGACAATATTAAGACGACTGCCACTTAACCATTGAATGGCTTTGTTTGTTCGAAATTGCAAACTGGACAGTTCTGAGAACAAACGAAGGTGTTCACTTTATGAGGGTGGGTGCCCTGTGGCGTGTACTGAAGAGAACCTGTTATTTTGAAAAGATGGTTGAAGCAAGCATCGAAATTGCAATTGTTTGTGTCTAAGGAGACCATGTTCAAATGGGACACGTTTTTATTAAGAAGTTACCTTCATTTGGTTTATTGAAGTATTTCTGTCTGAAGAGTGCCGCTTTCAGAAAATTCTACTGTTCATTCATGTAGACTATTCAAGGAAGGGCCACCCAATAACTTTAATGTAAGTAACAGCCATTGCGATATTGGAACGAATTCTGGAGTTTTCCTTCATAATGTCCACAGATTTCCATTTCAACGGGCTATCCGCCTCATCCCCTTTATACATTTTGTGTCCAGGGTACTTCAGTGCTTTAGTTCGCTGAAAAGAATTTAACTCAGTTCCTAACTTGAACTGTTACGAAGTTTCTTCTAAGCAGGCTTTCATCCAGATCCAACGTGTCGAAAACGAGCAGTCTGTTACTTATTACTTGTGTGCTGCGTGAAACGGTACCTGGTGCACCCCCCAAGTGATTGACTTATGTAATAGTTCAACAAAAACAAACAAATTCTATCAACTAGATAGACCATCTCTGTAAAATGATAAAAACCGGCGTGAATATCCTATGAAGACTTCATATTGAAACATGGCTCAGCATGTTGGCTCACGCTTCATTCTTTGATGAAACGAACTTCACTGTAACCATCGACTGTCTCTGCTCCAGTCGATCTGCCCTTTCTTTGAGTACATACTTCTGTCAGAGTATTACTGCCTTTTCGAACCATCCTAAACAAAACTATGGGAAGCATGTCTTGTAGGAAAAAAATGGCCGATTGTTGATGATGTTTCAACAAAGTAACACCAATATTAGCACCACATAATGGACTCTAGATTTCTCAAAATAGCGAGAAATGTGGTTGAATCAACAGAGCATAGGAAAGATGACTTCAATAGGATTTGTCACAGTTTGGAAGAAAAAATTGTTACTGATACCTATTTATTGGTCTCATGCCTTTATGGTCAGTGGTGAAGCAGGCATGTAAAAATCAGGCGTTCTTCATGGAACATGGTTCCACAAAAAACGGCACCAATCGAACATTTATACGCCACCTGATTACTATTTACTCATGCCCAAGAAAATT